GGAAAAAATGATAATATGTTTAGTTTTGTATGTTTAGTACAGATACAAACTTTTTTTAAAAATATGTGTGGTCTATGTTTGGCTGAATCTGTAAATATAGAATCTGAAAAAAAGAGGGTCAACTCCTCTTCAAAATTAAAATACACCAAAATTATTTTGGGACTGACAATTCCCGTCAGTAAAGATCTGAATCCAATGTTGACATCTAAAATTCTTAGAAAGTTGTCACCCTGTTTTGTTCTAAAAAAAACCATCAAAAAGGGGAGAAAATAGACAATATTCTTCAAAATAAATAAATTTTGAACCACAATCCTTCACTGCAAATTCTATATAGACATTTTTAATACAATATAGTATTTTATACAATGTAGTATTCTCACACAACTAGTACACAGACCCATGATAGAGATTAAAGGGGACTGAGATTGGAGGGCAAAAACCACTGACAATATTGTTCCAGTTATAGGAGCATAGCTAAGATCTGCGACCCTGAACCAGACCACTGAATCCACAAAGCGATAGGAGATTTCATGCTATCGTCTCAAAATGCTGGGGACTACGTGTGGACTAGCATGAGACAGACAATCTTGCGAGACAAATTCTTAATGAATTTCATAAATATTTGCAGGAGTTATTTCCAAGAATACTCTCATTCTCAAATTTTCACATTTGAAAAACAGAGATGTGTTCCTGGGTAGTGGAAACACAAGTACTTAGAGATAAGACAAAAGCATGCTTTGTTACAGTGTATATTCCATAGTAAAAGATCTTCACAGAGCTGTAGCATAAATGGAAGCCATGGACTTTCCAACCAGCATCCTCTAAGTTTTCTGTGTCACTTACAGAATGAAAAAACAACAAACAAACAAACAAAAACAAAAACAAAAAAAAGAACAAAAAACTGAGATTAATCAAAAGTTTATGAAATAGTCTCCTCTCTCATGTTTTACTACTACAAAATCACGTCTATATATTATGGGGTTACAGCTATTTCAGGTGCAAATAACAAAATCCATTTAAGAAGCTCTTCAGGAAGTCCCAAAGCAACAGAAGGGGTAAAAAACAATCATAAAGCACAGACAAAAAAGAAGCAAAAGTCAGTAGAGGAACTTAAGTTCTCTGTAACATACAACTTATATTACAGTTTCAAACAATTTCTGCTGCTGATGAATTGTAGGGAGGTTCCACATAGAAAACCATCTGAGAACAAAGAAAATTCTTTTTTTTTTTTTTCTGTCTGTGTCTTAAGTTTTCCTGTGTCCCACCCAGTCTGGAGCCGCTCAGACCCAAGTAAACACAGAGGCTTATATTAATTAAAACTGCTCAGGCTTACTATTGACTAGCTCTTGCATTTAAACTCAGCCCATTTCTGTTAATCTGTATGTTGCCACATGTTCCGTGGCTTTACCTGTGTGCCTTCACATACTGCTCCTTGGACAGCGGGCTGGCGTCTCCTTACTCAGCCTTCCTCTTCCCCTAATTCTCCTTGTCTGCTTATCCTGCCTATACTTCCTGCCTGGCTACTGGCCAGTCAGCGGTTTATTAAACCAGTGTATAAAATATTATCCCACAGCATCTTACCATTTCATTGTCTTGTTGCTCTATCTAAGACTTCCAGTATACTGTTAGGTAAAAGCTATAAAGGTTGTGGTACTTTTCTTATCTCTGGTCATAAGGGAAAAGAGTTCAGCTGCTTATTAAATTGGATGGAAGTTCTAAGATAATTTTGATGTTCTTAATCTAGCTGGGGAAGTATTCTCTATCCTAAATTTGCTGATAGATTCTGGAGTGAATAGGTGCTGAATTTGTCTATGATTTTTGTCTTTTATGAAATAATGTAAATATTTGGATGTTCTTCTTAATGTGATGAAGTAGTATTGATTTCCTAAAATAATTTCTACTTGATTATGGCATAAAATTCTCTTTGTATTTTGGCATGTTTTCAGTGTTTTAAAAACACTATCATGAAATAGTAATGATTAAATTGTAAATATGTAGAAGGAAGCCACAGTGTCATTATTTTCACATATACCGAATAATTACTCATGCATACTTTCAGCCGTTACGTATGATATCTTGGAAATATACAATTAAACAAGCTTGTGGTCAACAGAAAAGTGTGGTCAATATTTTCCTCCACATTAACAAAATGAATCAGTCATCCATTTCCTTGGCCTTAAGTGAAAAAGTGAATAAAATTTCAACTGCTAACGGATTCAAAAAATATAAGGAAGAAAACTATAAGAAGAAAAGGTTTCATATCAAAAAATATCCTACCATAAGAAAATAATACTTAAAAAATAAGACCATAATGATAAAAAGATGTTTTAAAATATCTTTATCTAGTACATCAGGGTATATCATTCAATATATAATTTAAAAATATTATTCATTACAGAGTATTATATATCTTTAATGTTTGTGAATTATAAAGCATATGAAAATCCAAAGTTTAATGATACTGAAGAGATCTAGAAGGAATTTAATTTCATGACATTAATATATAAACACCAAGTCAATTTTTCCTTGAAATCTATATGAGATATTGTCATAATACATTAGTGAAAAACTAAGTTAAAATGGCTATAATAATTTGACCACCTGTCCCCAAAAATAGTGGTTTATTTCCCTTTCTCTTGAGTCTAGGCTGGGTCTACAACCTTCCTTATCACCATAATACACAGCTGTGCCTCTGTCCAGTGTGTGAATGCACAGCTGTGCCACTGTCCAGTGGGTGAAAACACAGCTGTGCCTCTGTCCAGTGTGTGAATGCACAGCTGTGCCTCTGTCCAGTGGGTGAATGCACAGCTGTGCCACTGTCCAGTGGGTGAAAGCACAGCTGTGCCTCTGTCCAGTGGGAGAATACATAGCCGTGTCTCTGTCCAGTGGGTGAATGCACAGCTGTGCCTCTGTCCTGGGGGTGAATACACAGCTGTATCTCTGTCCTGGTGATACAGAGCTGTGCCTCTGTCCAGTGTGTGAATGCACAGCTGTGCCTCTGTCCTGGTGGTGAATACAGAGCTGTGCCACAGTCCAGCTGAGTCTTTAGTTATCTGTGTTTCTTTCTGTCTTGTGCTAAGGATGTTTCCACTTGCTATCTATAAGAATGTTTTGAATCAAGCAGGGGTGCTATCTGTACTGTGGGATGACTCATCCCTCATCTGCTTGAGGGCCAGACGGCCCAAACAAGTAAAACTTTCTGAGAGCCAGCCTGGGTCTGTCTGATGGTCTTAGCAACAGCAGCTAAAACATGATCTGGAGATGACCTGGACCAATGAGAGGTAGCCATGTCACACCAGCAGATGCATATTCATCAGACCTCCCCCCAGGGTGGGATGGAGGGTATATAAGGTATATAAGGCTTGCCTCTTCCTAAGTAAACTGAGCTTGTTGTTTCAACGTTGTCCCAGAGTCTGTATAGTTTGACTCTGCGCCTACTTGGCCCCCGCCCCCCCCCCAAAAAAAAAAACAACAACAAAGACCCTACTACACAGGACGATGTCCAGTTTGCTTGGGCTGGCCATGCCATCTATGAATCCAGACAATAAATGTCAGCCAGCGACTACTGGCCATGTTGAAAGAGTCACTTTAGGTATCCCAGTCCAGTGAAGAAGACTCCCAATGGTAGCAGCAGCTGGTACCACATGAAGCAGAAGCTCAATGCAATTACATCTGGTCAGTACCCACCCACCCACCCACCCACCCACCCCATAGACAACATACACAAACTCATAAGTGGAGATAAATATATTGCAATTTAGAACCCTTTAAGTTCTGGGCTGGTTAGCTATGCAGAAGGAAAAGCAGAAACAGCAGGGACAAAACTTCAGTTTGATTTTAAGTGGATAGTGACTCTGGACTTGTACTGCTTTGGTCCTTGGTCGGATAGCAGTTCCCTGACCTCTGACAACTCACAATTCACCCTTTGTCCCCGAGTCTCGATGTCTATATAAATGCCTTCACGGAGTTGTGGGAATTGAGCAGGGCCCGCTCTTCTCTTCTTCAGTGAGCGAGCTAAGGAAATGATTCCGTGAATGGGGCTGTTGTGGTGTTGCTCTTGCGAAAGTTGTTAAACTGCCCTGTGTTTATATTATACGCAGTTTTAGTCTACAGAGGGCATAGAGTATTCAACAGGAAATGGAGGTGAATACAAAGCTTCAGATCAGAGCTAGCCCAAAGTCAGTAAATACATTTTAAGGGATACTATTTATATAGAATCCCTTAGCAATAGTTTTGGACAATAATATAGTTTTGAAATGAATAACAGTTTGACCTGTTTGTTACAAATTATTTTCTTACACTAAATACTTTGCCTTCTGCCTATCTTTCAGGCATGTTCAAATTAATATACTTATCATTATGTTCTTATAAAGCTAAAATATCTAAAATCAGTTATCTATACTTGAAAGTGATGGTAGAATTGATATTGCTTTTTGCCTAATAAAAATATTGATTAATCTATTTACCATAAAACTGAACTAGTGTCATTTACAAAGCATGCCATAAATCACAGAAGTCATAGATGTGTCTCAATCATATTTCATTACATGCCTCATTTTGTTCTTCATTTCTCAACTTAAATTTTAGCTTCTGACAAGAACTCTCATTTGTACCAGACAGCCTTATAGATCCTTCCCCACTTAATTACGTGTTACAAATTTCCTGATGGTATTCTCAAGCCAGCTCTCAATTTGACTCCTTATTTTCAATGGCTTTTCTATGCCCTTAAGGGAAAATTAACTCTGGATAGTGATAGTGAGTATCTATTTATGTTATCCAAACAATAAGTATTTTTATCTTTATGTTTGGCCAATTGCATATTCTAAACCACCAATTTCAGTTGCCAGAAGTCAAACTCCTAATTTCCTCAGTATCAACTCTTCCTATCCCAGCAGGCTAGGTCCCTTCTCTCAAGCCTCTATCCCAGCCTCACTTTGTTTAATAGAGAGGCACAGTCATTCAGACATAGGACTCTGAGTATTCCGGATACTGCTTCTTACCAATGTGTACATAAAGTGCGATGGACATCACCCTGGATCTTATCCTGGAGATGAGAGACTCCTTATTCTAGATGAGATTCTCTATGTGAGCAAAAGGTAAACCTGTCCTCAACACTTCCTGGAAAAAAAGAAAAAGGAAAGGAATTAGGAAAAATTGCATGCCTGAAAAGAAATACACATCTTAATATTACTTAGCTATTCCTAGAGATGACATTTTACTCATGTTATTATATATATATATATATATATATATATATATATATATATATCCATTCATATATATAAGCTTAAGGAACATTGGTTCAGTTTGTTTCAATTTCTTAATCTAAGTTGGACCAGTCAGAAACACCTTAATAGATATGAACTCTGACTTCATAGTCTGATTTATCATGTGAATAAATAGGAAAAAAATGACAATAAAATATCACAGAACTTGACCCAATATCTTTCTGTGATCAAACAAAATTTCCTGACAATATCAGAACTGTGACAACCCCCCCCCCACCTTAGAAGATAAGAATACAGGGAAGAGAGATAGCTGATCCACATGAGCAAATGGAGATGTAGTGAGAAAATGAACACATTTAGAGTGCCAGTTACTGCGGGGACCTGTCACAATCAAACAATTCCTCTGACTTTTATTTCAGACAGAAACCCTTCTTCAAACTAGTTCTTAAGTACTCATTCCCTTACAATCTACCTCCCAGGAACCTTTCTAAAAACTGTTTCCTTTAAGATAACTATAATTGATGTATATCATGCTAACTAAAAAGCCAAACACACTCTTATCTACCTCTGTGCCTAAAGTAAATTTAAATTTTTTAGTTTTCAAGACATGGAGATGCTTTGCTTGACTGAATTTGAATCCGACTCCTAAAGTTTTTCCTATGTCATTTCTTTGTAAAATTCAGTTTACCGAGGACCCTCTCTTCCTCCAAGACATTTTATCTGAGCACTTAGGTATCTGACATATTTATTCATTCTCTACCACCTTCTAGTGATACCAAACCACCACTCCTACCTCCAGCAAACGAAACGAAACAAACAACACACAAAACTGGCTAGACTGGTCTACATAGACCTCTCCAGACCTTGAGTGTTCCCTCTTTCTAATTCTCCATTCTTTTATTACGTTCCTCTGGCTAAACTACGTAAGCTAGTTAACATATAAGGAGGAAAGGTTTCTTTAGCTACTTAAGACCAGGCAGGCTCGGTGCTTCCAGACTCTGGTGAAATATTAGATAGTGATGGAGTGAGCGTATGTTGAAGCAAACTTAACAACCCATGAGCTAAGAAATAAAATGAGCAAAAGGGAAAAGGCCTGCTCTCAAAATCCCATTTAGTTGCACATTGAAAAAGACCAAGAAACCCTAACTATCTCCTACCACCTAAAGTTTGTACGACCTCCCAACAGTGTCATTTCCATTCCAATCAGATAGTGCTTGGTGTTTTCCCACAATTTTGTGCTACAATTTCAAGGATGTATCATGCAAGGTAGTTACCATTGTAGATCATTGGCTTTGTAGCTGGGTTGGTGTTTATCTTTCTCTGTTGGTAGCATGCAGAACTCCTTCCAATTACCAACACTGATCTTGGTAAACATTAGCTCTACTTCTTCAGGTTCAATGAGTTGTGAAAGTGTTATCTCCAGCAATAGAGCCTTACCATCAGTTTTTGGAGAGAAACCAATAGCTTTGGCAATGTCTGGGTTGTTTGGGAGTCCTTTGGCCAACAACTATTAGAAGTAACCCATTCCTGGCACTGAAACTTTCATTTGGTGGCAAGAGACGTTAGTCGTGGTTTTGTCTCCCCCATTATTAGATGATTCTAGTTAGATTTACTTCATATATGCATATATTTTAAGAAGCTTCTACTGTAGTAGTTATCCATATGGCCCCTCAAATGGCCCAAGTTTTAGCTGTCCTATTGCCTCCTTTGTCCCCATCTTTATGCCCCCTCCCCATTGAACCTTCTGTTCCTATTCCTCCCTCACCCCCCACACACACCTCCATTCCATCAATAACTATCTATTCTATTTTTTCTTCCTAGGGAGATCCTTCAGCTCCCCTGCCCCCAATTCCTTACTCTTTACTTAACATTCAACGAGTAGATTGTAGCCTGCTTATCAAAGACTTAATAGCTAACATCTACATCTAAGTGTACGGATAGAATATCTGTCTTTTGGGGTATGGGTTACTGTAGCTAGAGTTTTCCTGCCTTGCCCACAGTCAGGACAAATCTTTGTCACCCCCCAGTCCCACAGCCGCTCAGTCCCAACCAAGTAAACACAGAGACTTATATTGCTTACAAACTGTATGGCCATGGCAGGCTTCTGGCTAACTGTTCTTATAGCTTAAATTAATCCTTTCCCATAAATCTATACCTTGCCACGTGGCTTGTGGCTTACCGGTGTCTTCACATGCGGCTTGTCATGGCTGCGGCTGGCAGTGTCTCTCTACCTCAGCCTTCTGCTTCCCAGAATTCTCCTCTCTCCTTGTCCTACCTACTTCCTGCCTGGCCACTGGCCAATCAGTGTTTTATTTATTGACCAATCAGAGCAATTTGACATACAGACCATCCCACAGCAGGTTACCTCACCTGGGATGGTTTTATCCTAGCTCCATCCACTTACCTGTGAATTTCATATTTATTTATTTATCTTTCAAGACAGGGTTTCTCTGTGTAGCTTTGGGCCTTTCTGGGACTCACTTGGTAGTCCAGGCTGGCCTCGAACTCACAGAGATCTGCCTGGCTCTGCCTCCCAAGTGCTGGGATTAAAGGAGTGTGCCACCACCACCTGGCTTCATATTTTTTTAAATAGTGGAATAATATTCCATTATGTATATGCACCACAAAAAATACCTTCATTCAACATATGACCATTTTATGTACAGAGGTTTAAGTTTAGTAATAGGTATAAATTCTGGGGTATGACTTACAGATAGCTAATAATAAATTTCCATAAAATTCAATGCATGAAATATTTCCATATCTTTAATAATACAATTTGAAATGTTGTGATATGACTAGGACATATTATGTAGTATCTAAAGAGTTGCTTACTAATCAGTATTCTATTATCTGATACTAATACATTTTAAGGGGCAATGTAAATATGTTTCAGAACATTGCAAAGGAAATACAATGGATATTAAGATTTAATTCAGGGTGTTTTAATTGGTTTGAAAACGAGAACAAGTTTATAATTACTAATGTGGCAGAACTGTGAAACACTCAGCAGTCAATAAGATCCATTTTAAAAATACATAATTTAAAACAATAACAAATGATATTCAATAATATTTAGTAATGTGTCAATGTGTCAGCTATGATTACTGCCTTTGTTTATGCATATCTGGCTGAAAAACATAAATCCACTTGAGGTCAAGAAGGCCTTTTTCTTCTTTTGATCTTTTGGTCTTTGTCATTGTATGAAACCTATGGATTCATCAGTATGTGAAGTGTTCACATCTTCTGATGTCTCCTTCAATTTCTATCTTCTATGTCTTAAAATTTTTATTATACAAGTTTTTCATTGGCTTGATTAGAGTTCTTCATATATATATATTACACACACATATATATACACAACACACACACACACACATATATATATATATATATATATAGAGAGAGAGAGAGAGAGAGAGAGAGAGAGAGAGGCTATTGTGCAAGGTATTGTTTCCTTGATTTAGAAAGGTATAGGCTTTTCCTGTGTTAATTTTGAATTCTACTACTTTGCTGGAAGTGTCTGTCAGCTTTACATGGTCTTTTTTTACGTAGAATCTTTAGGGCCTTTTATATATATTAAAAAAAAACTGTATGATATGTGTGCTGGATGGTTTTGTGTGTCAACTTGACACAAGCTAGAGTCATTTAGGGATAAAAGAGCCTCAGTTGAGGACATGCCTCCATGAAAACCATCTGTAAGGCATTTTCCCAATTGGTGATCAGTGGGAGAGGGCTCAGCCCATTGTTGGTGGTGCCATCTGTAGCATGAATCTTAAAAGGTCTTATTAATAAAATCAAACCTGAGGCCAGTTATTGGGGTGAATGCTGGAAGATCAGAAAAGCAGAACAAGACACAGCTACCTCACCTTGCCAGTTCCTCAGCTGATCCTGTTTCTTCAGACAGGAAGCCTCTGAGTCCTCATCCAGAATGAATCTCAGCTGAACTGCTGCTCAAAAGCCTAAAAGCTTAACCAGCCTAGTTCCTGGTCTTCATGCCTTATATACCTTATATACCTCTGCCATCACTCCCTGGGCTGCTGGTCTTGAGTTCTATAAGAAGGTGGGCTGAGGAAACCACGGGAAACAATCCAGTAAGCAGCACCCCTCCATAGCCTCTGTATCAGCTCCTACCTCCAGGTTCAAGGCCTCTTGAGTTCCCGTCCTGATTACTTCAGTGATGAACAGCAATGCTGAAGTGTAAGCCAAATAAACCCTTTTTGGTCCTGGTGTTTTTTTTTTTTTTGTAGCACTAGAAACCATAACTAAGACAATCTTCAAACAAAGAGACTTGGACTTCTTCCTTTCCAATTAGCACTCCCTTGAACTACTTCAATTATCTTATTACTCTGGCTAAGACAAAAACATACTATATTTAATAGTATGGAGGTTCTACATCAATATTCTGAGTTACATAATTTTTTAATATGGCAATGACCAGCATTTCTTCTTTACTCTTAAATTAAAATACTCAATTGAACACATGACAGAAATTTAATTTAATCCTCAAGGGAATCATTTAATATTTGAATAATTACACACATGTTAAGTAGTCCACAGATCGTATCCAGTAACTGAATTCTTCCTGTCCAATGTGTGTGTTCAGAGAACTTGGATATGGATAACAAGGGCACTGCTCATCAATGAGCTATTTAGGAAGTATACTGAAAGAAAGCAAGTGACTGACAGGACTTGTGGTCCTACAAATGTCAATGAAATGTAAAACGATCCCAGAGAAATCAGCAGCACTGCCAATAATGACAGTAAGTCAGTGATATTTAAATGCACTGTTAATCAATGAAAGACACCAAGAAGAAAAGTCCATTCATATTTAAAAGACTATAGTCTATGTCTTTATAGACTAAAAGACTATAGGCATAATATTCTTAT